CCCCCTCCTTCCCCGCCGCGACCTAGGGTTCTCTCTTTCTCGACAAGGCGAGCGAGCGAGCGCGCTTCCCTGCTTGCTCTGCTTCTGTTGGACTCTTTTACCTGGCACGCCCTATTTTCCTGCGATTTCCTCCCGTCTTTACCTATTATTGGAGGATTCCTGGGGCGTCTTCCGCTGGCTGGGTTGGAATTTGATTTCTTGTCCTCCTTTCCCATCCGGGTTTCTTGCAAGCCGTCTTGCAAAGAAGCCGCCACTTTTACTGCGCAATTCAGAGTTAGTCCAAAGCCGGGTCTTTTTTTAGTCTTCACGCGCATTCCGCTCCAGATTCTTTTCTCCCTTTTCTCGATGCGTTTTCCGTACGCCGGTATATGCAACCGGAATTCTACTAAACCCTACTCAATTCATGTCTGCAATCTTTCACAGAGGAAGGAAGAGACGAGGAGACTCTCCCTCTCTCTTTCATGCAGCCAGGGATGGAGCCCCTCCAAGGGAAGGAGAGCAACGGCGCCGTTCCTGACTGCAATGGGGCTGCTGCCCCCCCTGCGAAGCAGCAGCTGCCTGAAGGGACGGACGCCCTTCGGTATGCCAACATCCTCCGGTCACGCAACAAATTTGCTGATGCTCTCCAGTTGTACAGTACCGTTCTTGACAAGGATGGAACCAATGTGGAGGCCCTTATCGGAAAAGGGATCTGCCTCCAGGCCCAGAGCCTGCCAAGGCAGGCCTTGGATTGCTTCACCGAGGCTGTCAAGGTCGATCCCAAGAATGCGTGTGCTCTCACGCATTGTGGGATGATATACAAAGACGAGGGTCACCTAGTTGAGGCCGCAGAGGTATGGAGCAACATTCTCTCATCTATCTGCTGGCTTGCTGGTTCTTGTGAGCTGTGTCTCAGAAAAAGCAGACTTTGTTTTTTCATAGCATTGTTGTTGTTATTGTTGTGAACAGCTAAACACTGGAAATCTTTGATTGAGTATGTGCCTCGAATCTGATATATCCCTCCATGTTGACCTGAATGGATGATCTGGCATTAGTATGTTTCCTGAAATATAGTTTTTTGTTTTTGTTTTGCAGAATACAAGTTAGATCTAAAAGCTAATTTAGGCCCAGTTCTTTTGCCATAATCTTGGGATTTTTCCAGAATCCGACCCCTACTCAGCTTCTCCCAGAATCTTTGAGCCTCGTTTGTTTTACAATCCTATCTAGTTAGGGTCTAATTAGATAGGATTGTAAAACAAATGGGGCTCAAAGATTCTGGGAGAAGCTGGGTAGAGGTCGGATTCTGGGAGAATTTCCAGATTCTGGCAAAAGAACTGGGCCTTAAAGGGCTCTTTATGAACTTCCGTTTTACGCTAAGTTTGTCCAAATTAACCTAGCCATCAGTGTGTCCTGTGTATAATCTCTTGTGTGCCGGAATTACTGTTTAACAGTGTAGCTGATCTGTGGGTAGAAAGCACATAAGTGTTTGCTAAATCAGGGCAGATGACAACTGCAGTAAAAGAAAGCAGGATTCTGCTTGGAATGTCTATGCATACTATTTCTCCCTTAGAGAACACCAACCCCTTACTTTTAGTGTGAGTACAAGAAATCCTAACCAATCTTAGTTCGTTAGGTTAAACATCATACTGTCCAAAACCGTTAGTAGGGCCTGCACACAATGTTTTTAAGTTTTTGTTGTTTTTTACTGTAGCTACTGTGCTGTACAAATTTTATGTTCTAATAATGGAGAAAACAATCTGGAACAGGCATATCAAAAAGCTCGAAGTGCGGATCCTTCCTATAAAGCTGCTGCGGAATTTCTTGCTATAGTTTTGACCGATCTTGGAACTAGCTTGAAGCTTGCAGGCAATACAGAAGATGGGATTCAAAAATATTGTGAAGCTCTTGAAGTGGATAGCCACTATGCGGTACAATCATCAACTCTAACCGTTATTATTTTTGTCTGTCAATTTAGCATTGTGCTAATGTATACACCTGATTTATGCAGCCTGCTTATTACAACCTTGGGGTGGTTTATTCAGAGATGATGCAGTTTGACGTAGCTCTTACTTGTTATGAAAAAGCTGCATTGGAGAGACCATTGTATGCTGAAGCTTATTGCAATATGGGGGTTATTTACAAGAATCGGGGAGAGCTAGACGCAGCAATTGCCTGCTACGACAGGTAAATTTGCCATTATTTTTATATGAATTGTGCCGATATTCATAAAATAATCTACAACAAGAACGTGAAGTTCACTCGTGGCATGACTTTCCTGTACCCCAGGTGCTTGACTATTTCCCCCAACTTTGAGATTGCTAAGAATAACATGGCAATAGCACTAACCGACTTGGGTACAAAGGTGCGGACTTGTCCACTTCTACTGTTGTGTAAATTCTACCGATTACCATCAATTTTCATTTTGTTCTTTTACCGACTGTAACATGGCCTTCAAAGAGGATCATACTCATATTCCATTGTTTACTCCATGCTATACAGAAGCTCAACTGCAATTGCATTCTCTTTTGTATACCTTTAGTTGTCTACTACATAATTGCCCGTGCGTTGCAACGAGTGTAAATATTCTTTAATATGTTAGCCCATGATTACCTTCCATGTTAATGTGATTATCTAAATAATTGTTTATCAATTCATGCCCATGATTACCTTCCTGCTAGCCCATGATTACGTTCCATATTATTGTGATGATCTAAATAATTGTTTAACAAATCATGCCCATGATTTACCTACCTAAATAACTTTTAGGATTTTATTTGGTAATCACTTAGTAAGAACTTATTGTCTTGCCAAAGAAAACATAATTTTATTTGGTAAATCAATAAAAGACAAGAGGGAATGGGGAATGATGGATGAAGGACGAGGTGGACGACAGAACCTTACATCTTTTTTATTAAGTAGGAAAAGATAGTACCGACACCTTTTGTGTCTGGTTAAAGGCAACTGTTTGTGTTTGATTAAGGCACAACTATTTTTTTATTAATTATCATTTTAAACATCGGAGATGCTCAGGTTAAAATTGAAGGTGACATCAATCAAGGTGTGGCATATTACAAGAAAGCTCTGTTCTATAATTGGCACTATGCTGATGCAATGTATAATCTTGGTGTTGCATATGGTGAAATGTTGAATTTTGAGATGGTGAGTTACATGAAAATTCCATAAATTTGGTTCTACTATTAGCATTCACTTTTGGCTGACTTAATCTACTTGTGATTTTCATGAAGGCTATTGTTTTTTATGAACTTGCTCTGCACTTCAACCCTCGCTGTGCGGAGGCATGCAACAACCTGGGAGTAATATACAAGGATAGGGATAATCTCGACAAAGCTGTTGAATGTTATCAAGTGAGTGTATGCAATTCTTTTCATGTTTATTAGAGTCGTGTTTACTTATTGCCTGTTTCCTTCTTTTTGTAGATGGCCTTGTCAATTAAGCCAAATTTCTCCCAGTCATTGAATAACCTTGGAGTTGTCTATACAGTTCAGGTATGATCCTCTATCATTATTGATTTCTTACATTCTTACTGTGGTTGACTGGTTACATTGCATTTTTAGCTTACTGAGATACATTTTTCATATTTAGGGCAAGATGGATGCTGCTGCAAGCATGATTGAGAAGGCCATACTTGCAAATCCCACTTATGCTGAAGCATACAATAACTTAGGTAATGAGCAATCAACCTCTGTCACTTTAGATACTTAATACTAGCATGTCATTTGAAACATGTTCCAACTAAGAATCCATGACGGCTCTGTGACCACCAATCATCTTTTATAGTTGTACCATACACGATGAGGGTACATTGATGCATGAGTATGCATGTATTTAGATAAAAACAAACACCATACGGGCCAGTATTGAATGATGGACGGTGCACAAATGAGTAGCATTGAACAGTCATCAGCTATAAAATAGCATTCCCTCTGTTCACTTTTATAAGAGGTTCTAACTTTTTCCTGAATCGGATGTGTATATAGACGCGTTTTAGTTTGTTTTTTCACTCATTTCAGTACGTATCTAGTCCATATTGAAATACCCAAAACATCTTATAATTCGGAACGGAGGTAGTAGTAAACAGGGGACAGGGTGGCCATTAGGGGTTTGCTAGTTTTGTCGATTTCATTGGACTTCTGTGGCCTTCCAAAGTGTCAAGGAATATCAGGATTTATTTTAATTTGTTTTGGAAAGCAAAATTCCTCGATATTCCCCAATGTGTGTACCTCCTACTTGTCCACGAGCAATGGGTACTCCCTCCGTTTCTTTTTACTCCGCATATAAGATTTGGTCAAAGTCAAACTACACAAAGTTTGACCAAATTTATATAAAAAAATATGAACATCTACAATACTAAAACTATATAGTATGAAAATATGTTTCATGGTGCATCTGATAATATTGATTTCATATTGTGAATGTTTATATTTTTTAATATAAAGTTAGTCAAACTCTACAAAGCTTGACTTTGACCAAATCTTATATGCGGACTAAAAAGAAACGGAGGGAGTACAAGTATGGAAGCTTTGCAAAAATTATTTTCTTTGAATATTCCATTTAACATTGATTAGGCGTTTGCGAAGTGACTGACAGTTCACCACTACCTGTCATAGGTGTTCTTTACAGAGATGCTGGAAGTATTACGTTATCTGTACAGGCATATGAAAGATGCCTGCAAATTGATCCTGATTCACGAAATGCCGGTCAGGTACTTTGTGAGGCCTCAAGCTTGTTATTTAAACTATCTTCCGTACTCTTGTATGTCGCTACATGAAACTGTATAGCTTACATTCTCTCCTTACATGGTCAACTAACAGAACAACTCTTTGCAGAACCGTTTGCTTGCCATGAACTATATTGACGAGGGCTCAGATGACAGGCTTTATGATGCTCACAGGTCAGTTTATGCACTGTTTGCAATGAAAGTGCCATTTCTATGTTACCATGATCATGTATTTTGATATGGCACTACTACTATCCAGTATTAACTCAATTTTTGCAGGGAATGGGGAAAGCGCTTTATGAAATTGTATGCACAGTATACTAGTTGGGATAACATAAGAGTCGCTGATCGTCCACTGGTCATTGGTTATGTGTCTCCTGATTTTTTTACTCACTCCGTGTCTTACTTCGTTGAAGCCCCCCTTACACACCATGATTACACAAATTGCAAGGTGGTCGTCTATTCTGGTGTTGTGAAGGTATAGACAATTTGTTCCTTGCTAGCTATTCTGGATTTGGGCACACAGTGACAATCAACTTATTTTGGCTGACTTGCTACCCCTTTAACTAAATAAAAACATTAATCCAGTGTCCAACAGCCTAGAGATTATCTATCAAAATTAGTTTGGTAACACGAGACATCCAGACTAGAAAATAAGTAACTGCAATGTGAAGCTATCAAGGTGGATCTGGGGTTATTTCATCATTATCCTTCTGTTCACACACTTTGCTCTTTTTTCTGATCATATTTTTTATTATTGATGATTCTCTAGGCAGATGCCAAGACCCTTCGATTCAAGGATAAGGTGTTAAAAAAGGGCGGGGTCTGGAGAGATATATATGGTATTGATGAAAAGAAGGTTGCTACCTTGGTCAGAGAGGATAAAGTGGATATACTTGTGGAACTTACTGGTCATACAGCAAATAATAAACTAGGAACAATGGCGTGCCGCCCTGCTCCTATTCAGGTATGTGTTCCACGTGGCATTTCAACGACTTGACTTTATTTTCAGAACAGCTTGCATATGAGCAGTTTTATGCCTATTATTATGTTCTGGGAGCTTCTAATTGTCCCCTTCCATCCCTATCCACTCAAATCATTCCAAGTAGTTCGATCAATGAGTCAATTGCTATCTGACTGTTTTGCTGAGAAGGGCCTTTCTAACTTGGGTATGTATTTCCTTACAGGTTACATGGATTGGTTACCCTAATACGACAGGTTTACCAGCAATTGACTACAGAATAACAGATTCATTGGCTGATTCTCCTAATACAAACCAAAGGTATGCTGGATGCTTTTCATGTAGTTATTCTGTCATGCAGTTTCTCCCTATGCGTCTAGAACCTCATAGTACTGACTCTCTGCAGGCATGTTGAAGAGTTGGTGCGCCTTCCTGAAAGTTTTCTTTGTTACACTCCTTCTCCAGAAGCTGGGCCGGTTTGTCCCACACCAGCAATTTCAAATGGTTTCGTCACGTTTGGTAGTTTTAACAATCTAGCAAAGGTGCATAACAGATTTGAACGCTTTATTTTATCTCTATTGAATCACTCTGTTCATAAAGTTATTTTTGGCAGATCACACCGAAAGTTATGCAAGTTTGGGCCAGAATATTATGTGCAGTCCCTAACTCACGGCTTGTGGTTAAGTGCAAGCCATTCTGCTGTGACAGTATAAGACAGAAATTTTTATCGACACTTGAGGAGTTGGGTTTGGAGTCACTACGAGTTGATTTACTACCACTCATCCATCTCAACCATGACCACATGCAAGCATATTCCTTAATGGACATCAGGTGAGAAGTTGTTTCACTTGTAATATAGTTGTGCCATATACTCACATATAGGATCTTCTATGTCAAGTCTTACATGTTTGTCAGGGTGTGCGTTTATATATAATCTTTAGATCCATGCCAATAAATATCATTATCCTACATTGATCACTGGCAATTCCTTACTATTTTCGTGTGAATATTCAGAAAATGTGTTCTTCATTAGCGGTGTTCCTCTGAAGCTGATTGAACTTCCATTTGTGTTTTTGCAGCCTAGATACGTTTCCATATGCTGGGACTACCACTACATGTGAATCTCTTTACATGGGGGTTCCATGTGTTACAATGGCTGGTTCAGTTCATGCTCATAATGTTGGTGTTAGCCTACTCACTAAAGTTGGTACGTTCTAACAATAGGTGGACATGAATTTTTATTTATTTTTCTCCTGCCTAGTTATTTATTTTTCCACCGTCTAGTTTCTGTGTGACTTATATCTGTTATTATGGAACCTAAAAAAGGGGACCTGTATATTGTTGTTATATAAACATAGGGAATTGTCTGACTGAGAATTATTTGTTGCAGGGTTGGGGAGGCTGGTTGCCAAAACGGAGGATGAATATGTTAGCTTAGCATTGGAGTTGGCATCAGATGTGAGTGCCTTAGAAGAACTGAGGAAGAGCCTCCGGGAACTGATGATAAAATCACCAGTCTGTGACGGAGAGAGTTTCACACGTGGCCTGGAATCTGCATACCGAAGCATGTGGCATAGGTACTGTGATGGGGATTCACCAGCTCTCAGGCGCTTAGAAGTGTTGGCGGGCGAAGACTTGGACAAGACGGCTGTGAAACTTGCAGATCTTAAAGCACAGAGAGTGAATGCTACTGCTGAGGAAGATAATCAGTCCCCGCTAAAGAAGGCTGACGCCACGTCCAAGGGAGGCGAGCCCCAAATAATGGTGAACGATGTGAGTTCTCCTGAAGGTAACCAGGCCCTCGTAACGGCGAAAGCGAAGCCCCAAATAATGGTGAATGGTGGGAGTTCACCTCACTCCCCTTCGGTGAGATGCGAAGCAAATGGGCATAGCAGCCGATGACCAATGGGAGGCTCCATTGATGCAGGCACACACTGATGTATTATAGGTTGAGATTTGCCATTGATGTATCATCACAAAGTCGCTGCTGGGGGTCAATATAGGTGTTCTGGTTGTTGACCTCGGAAATGGATGTGGTTGTGAAACGCTGGTGATCCCTGACTTGTAGCAGATGTAATATAATTCGTGGGGGATGCTTAGTCTGATTTGTAGATCAAGGTGTATGAGTAAAGAGTATGTGCCAAGTTGAGTTGGCATGGTAGAAACAGAGAGAAAGGCGTTGGTTGTATATGTAGGAACAGCTTCTAGATTCTCTAAAATTTAACCGAGGCTATTTCAACTTCTAGATTCTCTTGAGTTTAACTGTTTTTGTCTTCAGTTTCTTGTCTTTTTGACCATGCAACCTTGATGAGTTTAACTGTTTATTGGCTGGGTGGAGCTGCGGACATGGTTTTGGTTTCTGTTGGCCTCGTGTAATTAAAAGCTTTGTGATTTCATAGAATGATAATTAAACTCATGTAAAACAGGAGTAAATTGCAAAAAAGAATATCACAATTAAGGACCCTAATTCAGAAAACCACCACCTTTGTTTTTTTAAAACCATCATCATTGTGCTGAAAGTTTTTTAAAAAAAGCTGATTGACAAATTAGAGTTATTTGATGCAAAATCTGACAGGTGGGTTCCACTGTTAGGTGCCACGTGGCTGGGGTGGAGACAACACCCATCACGCATGTAGCCGAGCCACCCGACGTCGTGGAGCACTCATTGTGTATGACTCCAGGGGCTTCGGGAGGTCGAAGAAGATTAGAAGAGGGTTTCGGGGAAAGAAGTGGGAGAAGGAGAGGGCAAAGTGAGAAGGTGTGATTGCCAAGTTGACGGAGAAGTTCAAGAACATCTTGTCGAAGAAGGAGGCATACATAAGCGGTCCGACAGTAAGGAGGAGAAAAAGATGGAGAGATAAAAATTGTTGATTGAGGCGACCGAGAAACTCATGCTCGAAGAGAAGGCGTTGCTCAAAGAGAGAAGGTGCATATAGCAGCCGGTGCAGAGGACGCCAAGATGTTGACCTTGAATTTGGATGCTTTGAATGCCCACGCAAGAATAATCGTGCAAGCCATCCCTTACAAGATGCTGGAGCGGCAGAAAGATGAGTTGGAGGCGGCGGACAAGGAGGAGATGGAGGCGGTAGAGGAGGAGGAAGCTGAGGCTGCCTACGTGGCGACGATAACACCTTGAGCGTGGAAGCTCAAAATGCCGCTCCGATAGGGTAGAAAATCTAATTTTCTACACGGATTGCCGGACTGTTATTCTTGTATGATCGGGCATGTAAAAACTACATCATACTTGCCTCTTTTTGGGTGATGTTGGGCATGTGATCTGGGGCTGCTGTGATGCGGCGAGCGCATGGAACGGACATTATTTGAATTTTAAATTGTCCTTTACTGACGGACATATACATGATAGCGTTGGATGGTCGCCCTCGACATTAGTGTCCGCAGATTGCCCTCTGTCCGTAGATAGATGCCGGAGCAAATTTACGGGCCAGTATTGGAAATGCCCTTACATTTACACAAATGTTTCTCTACAAACAACAATATGCATACCAACCTCCAGATCCAAACATCAACGAATCAAACCGTCACACTTCCAACTTTTGGCTGATGAACAGTACATATGTTGAGCTTCTTCGTCGACATGATGGAGAGTACTTTTTTAGGATCTCACAAAGCTTTACTACTGCGTCATAATGTCTACAGGGACGAAGACAAAATCGCCAGCTGGCCTAACCAAACATGAAGGCCATACCCTGAAGATAAAACATGCTTCCTAAGATTATGAGTCTCCACATTAAATGTCCTAAACTCATGACTAAACATGCAAGAAGAAAAACTACTAGCTCTAACTCTAATCTCTTGAACTATGATACCAAAATTTGCAGAGCTCACTTTTTTTATCGTGTCAACGGCCACTTTGCAGTCCAAGGCAACAAGCATCTCTTGTTTATGCAAAGATCCTCTGCCAGTGCAAGAGCCTCTAATGGCAGGTGTTTCCAGAACATGAGGATCAAAAAAAAATTCTGATTACTACTGCCGATGGAGGGGAACAAGTAGTACTGGGTCCGACCCACCAATAGATAAAAACCCAGAGGCCGCTAATCTTAAGAGCCCAACTAAAGGCGTCCCTGGCAGAAAGGGAAAAAACTTGAAGGCTCAGCCCAATACGAGAGACCTTCTTCTAACAGCCTCTCCATTTATAGCTAGGCGGCACTGATGTTCCCCTAGGTGAAAACTAGGGTTTCGATGTCTTCCGGCGATCTGCGCCGGAATCCTATCTCCGGTTGCTACTTTCGGTTGCGATCGAGTCCTTTTACGAGGGGGTCTCCTGTGGGGCCTGGGTCGTGTCTCTAGATCGCCGTGCGAGGAGGGCTGATACGCCTCCGTCGTATCTACTTTCCCAAACACTTTTGCCCTTGTTTTGGACTCTAACTTGTATGATTTGAATGGAACTAACCCGGCTGACGCTGTTCTCAGCAGAATTGCCATGGTGTTGTTTTATGTGCAGAAAACAAATATTCTCGAAACGACCTGAAACTCCACGGAACATCTTAGAAAAAAACAATAAAAATCCTCGCCAAAGATGAAGACCAGGGGGCCCACATCCTTCTCACGAGGGTGGGGGGCGCCCCCCCTAGGGCGCGCCCCTACCTTGTGGGCCCCCTAGAAACCCTCCGACGCCAACTCCAACTCTATATATTTGCTTTCGGAGAAAAAAAAATAAGAGAGAAGAAATCATCGCGTTTTATGATACGGAGCCGCCGCCAAGCCCTAAAACCTCTCGGGAGGGCTGATCTGGAGTCCGTTCGGGGCTCCGGAGAGGGGGATTCGTCGCCGTCGTCATCATCAACCATCCTCCATCACCAATTTCATGATGCTCACCGCCGTGCGTGAGTAATTCCATCGTAGGCTTGCTAGACGGTGATGGGTTGGATGAGATTTATCATGTAATCGAGTTAGTTTTGTTAGGGTTTGATCCCTAGTATCCATTATGTTCTGAGATTGATGTTGCTATGACTTTGCTATGCTTAATGCTTGTCACTAGGGCCCGAGTGCCATGATTTCAGATCTAAACCTATTATATTTTCATGAATATATGTGAGTTCTTGATCCTATCTTGCAAGTCTATAGTCACCTACTATGTGTTATAATCCGGCAACCCCGAAGTGACAATAATCGGGACCACTCCCGGTGATGACCATAGTTTGAGGAGTTCATGTATTCACTATGTGCTAATGCTTTGTTCCGGTTCTCTATTAAAAGGAGGCCTTAATATCCCTTAGTTTCCAATAGGACCCCGCTGCCACGGGAGGGTAGGACAAAAGATGTCATGCAAGTTCTTTTCCATAAGCACGTATAACTATATACGGAATACATGCCTACATTACATTGATGAATTGGAGCTAGTTCTGTGTCACCCTATGTTATGACTGTTACATGATGAACCGCATCCGGCATAATTATCCATCACTGATCCGGTGCCTACGAGTTTTCCATATACTGGTTTACGCTATTTTACTTTCCCACTGCTACTGTTACAATCACTACAAAATACCAAAAATATTACTTTTGCTGTCTTTACTTTTGTTGCCGCTACCACCACTATCATATTACTTTGCTACTAAACACTTTGCTGCAGATACTAAGTTTCTAGGTGTGGTTGAATTGACAACTCGGCTGCTAATACTTGAGAATATTCTTTGGCTCCCCTTGTGTCGAATCAATAAATTTGGGTTGAATATTCTACCCTCGAAAGTTGTTGCGATCCTCTATACTTGTGGGTTATCAAGACCAATTTCTGGCGCCGTTGCTGGGGAGCATAGCTCTATTCTTTGAGTCACTTGGGATTTATATCTGCTGGACACTATGAAGAACTTGAGAGATCCAAAAACCAAGATCTATCCCTCAACTACGAGGGGAGGTAAGGAACTGCCATCTAGCTCTGCACTTGATTCACCTTCTGTTATGAGTAAGTTTGCGACACCTACACCTGCTTTTGCTATTCGTTCTGATATGTCGCATGTTATTGATGATGCCACTTCTGCTATGCATGATACTTATGATGAAACTGCTTCTATGCCTGATACTACTGTGCCCCTTAGTGAATTTCTTGATGAACAAATTGCTAGGGCTAGAGAAAAAGAAATTATTGAATCTGAATACGATGATGATAGTGATGATGAAAATATGCCTGTTATCCCCGAGGGCTATCTTTTTGATATGGAATCTTCTGCCGCTATTTTAGCTTGCAAAGATAGATATGAGCTTAAGAGGTTATTAATTAAATGGATTATGAATTCTCTGTTGATCCTGATATAATTACTTTGGTTGAATCTGATCCATTTTATGGCTATGAATCTGAAACTGTTGTGGCACATCTTACTAAGTTAAATGATATAGCTGCCCTGTTTACTAATGATGAGAGATCGCGTTACCTGTATATACTCAAAATATTTCCGTTCTCATTAAAGGGTGATGCTAAGATATGGTTTAATTCTCTTGATCCTGGTTGTGTGCGTAGTCCCCAGGATATGATTTATTACTTCTCTGCTAAATATTTCCCTGCTCATAAGAAACAAGCTGCTTTGAGGGAAATATACAACTTCGTGCAAATTGAAGAAGAGAGTCTCCCACAAGCTTGGGGGAGGCTTCTCAAGTTACTTAATGCTTTGCCTAATCATCCTCTTAAGAAACCTGAAATACTTGATATCTTTTATAATGGACTAACCGATGCTTCCAGAGATTACCTGAATAGTTGTGCTGGTTCTCTTTTCAGGGAAAGAACACCGGATGAAGCTGAAATTTTATTAAATAATATGTTGACAAATGAAAATAATTGGGCACCTCCTGAGCCAGCTCCTGAGCCAACTCCTGCTCCAATTACTGAGTCTATTCCTAAACCAACTCCGAAGAAGAGAGGTGTTCTATTTCTCAGTCCCGAAGATATTCAAGAGGCAAATAAATTTATGAAAGAAAAAGGTATTAAAGCTGAAGACGTTAAGAATTTACCTCCTATTGAAGAAATACATGGTCTTAATTCACCGCCTGTTGAAGAAACTTATGATCTTAATTCTTTATTTACTGAAGAACCTCCTGATCCCGATATCCCGACACAGGTAGTAAAGGTAAATTCTCTCTATAGATATGATAAAGCTGAAGTCCCTCCTACTAAAATTGCTAGTCAGTGCTTGGATGAGTTTGATAACTTTATGCTTAAGCAAGACGACTTCAATGCTTATTTTGGTAGACAATTAAAAGAAAATGCTTATATGATTAGACGCTTGGGTGATTATATGGCTGATATTAAAGGTGAACTTAAACTTGTTAGCAAACATGCTTCTATAGTCACCACTCAAGTAGAACAAGTACTTAAGGCTCAAAAAGAAGTGCTTGATGAAATGAATTGTAAGAAAAATGATTATGCTGTTAGAGTGGCTACTAGAACTGGTAGAATGACTCAAGAACCTTTGTATCCTAAAGGCCACCCTAAGAGAATCGAGCAAGATTCTCAAAGAAATAATATTGATGTTCCTAGTTCTTCTTAAAAGAAGAAGAAGAAAAATGATAGAACTGTGCAAACTTCTAGTGAACCTATTGCTGAACCACGTGATAATCCAAATGATATTTCGATGTCTGATGCTGAAACACAATCTGGTAATGAACATGAACCTAGTAAAAATATTAATGATGATGCTCAACCTAGTAATGATAATGATGTAAAAATTGAACCTGCTGTTGATCTTGATAACCCACAATCAAAGAATCAACGTTATGATAAAAGAGACTTTGTTGCTAGGAAACATGGTAAAGAAAGGGAACCTTGGGTTCAGAAACCCATGTCCTTTCCTCCGAAACCATCCAAGAAAA